GGGAAAAAAGGTCTTATTATGTTTAAGAATATTACAAATATGTTAAAGTATCACTTGTCTGTCTATGTACAGTACTTCGGCCACTTTCACTGTGGTTATCCTTAATTCAGTGCTTTCATCTAATTCACAGTACAACCTGGTTTTAATTATTTTAAGATTTTAAAAACTCTTAAATATACTTTCAGATTATAAAAGTTCTGCACTGTATCTGAATTCAATAATCACACTGTTTTAAGAGTGGATTTTATCCTGTTATAATCTGGCCATGCAACTAGTATTGCAAATATTTAACGTTGGATTCAGATAATTTGATAAAGGAAATATATGATCGGTGCCACAAAATAAATTAATAAAACTCTCTAAAGTGTTCAGAGAAACTAAGTGTGGCTGTTGTGTATACATAGTACAATAGTCCTTGAAATATTTAGAATCATCATAACAGTTTAATTTTAAGTGTTCAAGGTGCCTTTTTACCTGTTTCAGATTTTTGTAATTTAATTGAGCATACATCAGCATAAAAACAAAAAGCTATTGCCGGCACAGTAACCTCTCACTACAGATAAGATTAGCAAGGCTGCCTCTTAAAGTGAGCATAGTTTGACTTTTATGTATGTTAAATTTTTGCTCAGTTGAGGCAATAAAATCCTTTGCTCCTAAAGGTTTTGTACTTCTGTCCTTCCATTGTTTTTAACTGATGTAAATTTTGTAGGTAAATATGTGCATTAAATAAATACTTTATATATGTTAGTATGTTTGGGTTTTTTTGTATTATAAATTGACAAATGTGCAGATATAGGATGGGAAGTGACAAAAGCTGAACAGTTATGTACTTTAGTTATGAACAGCTGAAGACTCCAGTGACGGAAGTATTGTGGCTTTTGTTTTTTTGTGAAATGTCATGTTTGTAATGCTGGATATTGATGTCACCAAAATACGGACAGAATGGAAAGCTGCAGCCCATGGTCCCTCTACAATAATCCACCAGTCTACCTCAACCCTGTTCCAGGCACCTTCTCATGCCTAGAGCAGGTATTGTCTCTATCTCCATTCAGTCTTTGTCCTTTCTGAGGCCTCAGGAAGGCCCCAGATTCAATAAGCACTTAAGTATGTACTTGGGTGCTAACAAGGGTGCCATAGACATTAATGTGATATGACCACTTGTTGATATGGTGGGTCCTTGTCCAGTTCCTGGTGAACATATTCATGTAGGCTCCTGAGTCATCATCAGACGGAAATTACTTTTAGTCACTTCCAAACTGGCTGGATTTGAACTAATGATCTGCAGGTCATCCAGCTTCCCTGGAATGCCTAAATCAGTGGCTCTCAACCTTTTCAGAATGGTGTACCCCTTTCAGTAGTCTGATTTGTCTTGTGTACCCCCAAGTGTCATCTCACTTCAAAACTACTTGCTTACCAAATGAGACGTAAAAATACAAAAGTGTCACAGCACACTATTACTGAAAAAGTCTTACTTTCTCATTTTTACCATATAATTATAAAATAAATCAACTGGAATATAAATACTGTACTTGCATTTCAGTGTATGGTATGCAGAGCAGTCTGAACAAGTCATTGAGTGATTTAAGTTATACCGTTCTAAACTCTATGTCGTCAGGAGAGCTTAGAGCGTCTCCTGTGCCACTGTAAGTGCTGTAGTATAGATATAGCCAAGCTTACACAGAGCTCTTCAGGTCTGGGAAATGTCACAGCTAAATACAAGGTTTCAGAGTAGCAGCCGTGTTAGTCTGTATTCGCAAAAAGAAAAGGAGGACTTGTAGCACCTTAGAGACTAACAAATTTATTTGAGCATAAGCTTTCGTGAGCTACAGCTCACTAAATACAAGGTGGAACAGATTGTTTAGCATAAGTAGTTAGCACATTTCAAGGGCCATTCAAGGTAAAATGGCTTGTTAACAGCAATCCAGTCATGGGGAGGGAGTGCGGAAAGGAAGCACGGAAAGGAAGTGGAGGAGCCAGTTTTGGGGGTTGTTAGTGTTGGGTTACAGATTGTTGAAGCCAGTGTCTCGGTTCAGTTCATGATTCTGAGCATCTAGCAAAGTTATGAATTTAGCTCCCAGGCTCATCTTTTGAAAGTGCTGTGAAGGTTTCCATCGAGGATGAGGACTGATAGGTCAGATATAGAGTGGTCACTTTGTGAAGTGTTCATCCACAGGTGATTAAGGCTTTGTTTACACTACAGCTTATGTCTGTATAATTTATATTAGTGGGGGGGGTGTGAATAAATCACCCCCCTTGAGTGACTAAGGCTATGTCTACACTGGCAATTGAACGTATTAACCTCCCCCCGCAGACAAAAGTTTTGCCACGACAAGTGCCAGTATGAACAGCGCTTTGTCGGCAGGAGAGCAAACGCCACTTGTTGCACGTGGAAGTTTTTTGTCCGCGGGAGAGCCAACAAACAGCAGCTATACCGCATGACTTTTAGCGACACAGCCGTTGCGACACAGCCATGTTGCTAAAAGCTGTGTCGTGTAGACCAAGCTCTAACTTACACTGACATCAGCACTATGTTGGTGGCAGAGCTTCTCCTGCTGACATAGCTAGAGCCACTCGTGGGGACTGGAGTAGTTAAGTCGATGGGAGAGCGCTTGCCCATTGGCTTAGAGCAGCGCAGCTACATCAGTGCAGCTGTAAAGTGCCGAAAGTGTTTTTTTGGTCGTTTATCATATTCCTGTGTGAGTTCATACAAGAGTTTACTGATACACCGCTACGGTCCACTTCACCTGGAATGGCCCTTGAAATGTGTTAACTACTGTAGTGCTTTAATGAAGATACTCTAGGCTGATGGGAGAGAACTCTCCTGTTGGCATAGTTAATCCACCTCCTGGAGCAGCAGTAGCTATGTCGGCAGGAGAAGCTCTCTTGCTGAGGAAGCATTGTCTATACAGGGGGTTAGTTATACCAAGCTATGTCGCTCAAGGGTGTGGATTTTTCACACACCTGAGTGGCAGTTATACCAGTATAGGTCTGTAGTGTAAACCAGACCTGAGGAAGAGCTCTGTGTAAGCTCGAAAGCTTGTCTCTCTCACCAATAGAAGTTGGTCCAATAAAAGATGTTACCTCTCCCCCACCTTTTGTCTCTAATATCCTGGGACCAACCCGGCTACACCAACACTGTATATAACTATGGGAGATAACTTTCAAACATGGTTGCAAACTATAAAATGGAAAAATATTAAGGCTGCAAAAACTAAAACCAGTGTGCCACATGTAAAAGGCAAGGATAATAGCTCTGGATAATTTAGAAAGAATCTGCCTACTTTCTGTCGGAATCTGGATGTTTTTATTTCCTATTGTGTGCTGCTCCACTCTGTGGTTCCAGGGTTGGATACAACATAAGGACAATAATTCAAAAGTATTTACTTTAACAATCTAATCTGCCTTTGCTGCTGTTGTACAAAGTTTTAAAACCTACACCCTTCCTTTAAGTCCTGCCCTGGTCTCTCTTACTCTATAACAGCCCGTAGTAAATATGCAGCTGTTAGGGACAGATTTAAAAAAAAGCATCCAAACAATTTGTATCTGATATTGCAGCAGTTTATGTGCATGTTTTGTAGCTGTATTATGTAGCAAACTGTCCACTGAATGAAACATCACAGTTGTGCAGAATTCAGAGTAACAGCCGTGTTAGTCTGTATTCGCAAAAAGAAAAGGTACTTGTGGCACCTTAGAGACTAACCAATTTATTTGAGCATGAGCTTTCGTGAGCTACAGCTCACTTCATCGGATGTATCCGATGCCACAAGTACTCCTTTTCTAGTTGTGCAGAAGTATCCATCTCCATTAATCACTTATGCTGTCCAGCTGTGAACAAATGAGATGCAGTTTACTCCAGTTGATAGGGTATAGTAGTAGATTCAGAAGATGTTTTATTATTTATTTGTATCTAGTGGGGAGCTTAGGAGCCCCTAGTCATTGAGTAAAACATGGGGTTTGTAGAAACCTAGAACAAAGACTATTCCTTTGGCTATGTGGACACTACTGCAGTAAGTCAACCTAAGTTACGCAACTCCAGCTATGCGAACAATGTAGCTGGAGCCCACGTAGCTTATGTCAACTTACTGTGGGGTCTATATTGCCCTAGGTCCATGGTAGATGCTCTCCTGTCTACTTACCTTGCTCCTCTCCTTCCCCATGGAGTACCGGGGTTGAGCGGAAAGCACTCTGAAGACCCGCTAAATCAACCCCCGGTGCACCGATCACCAGAGCGTCCATCCCGCGGTAGTGAACGCATAGCCTAAGGGTATTTGAGGCAGACATAGGCGACGTCTACACTAGCACTTTTGTATATATAACTTATGTCACTCTGTGTATATATAAAGTCTGCTGCAGTTTCCACGGTATGCATCCGATGAAGTGAGCTGTAGCTCACGAAAGCTCATGCTCAAATAAATTGGTTAGTCTCTAAGGTGCCCCACGTCCTCCTTTTCTTTTTATGTCACTCAGGTGTGTGAAATAGACACCCCCTTAAGTGACATAAGTTACACCACCAGAAGCACTGGTGTGGACAGCGCTATGTCCACCAGGGAAAAGCCTCATAAGCTGTGACTCTAGGAGTGGGAGCTTTAAGACAAACACCCCTGCCGTCTCTTCCCACCTGTGGAAAATGTGTGCAGGGGCAGCCGCGGAAGGAAGGAGTGGAGGGTTTAGCTTCCTTCCTTCTATCTTGGTAAAGCAGCAGCCCGGCAGGGCCTAGGCTCTCAAAAGGCAAGGGGCGCCGGCGGGAATCGGTTATCGTGGCCGGCGTAGCGCCCCCTAGCGGATCGGCAACCAGCCGCTCCTTCTCCGCGCCTGCGCCAGGGTCAGGGCCGGCCGGGCTGCGGCCGCACACGTGGGGGCTCTGCGTTCTCCTGCGGCCCGGCAGGGCAGGGTCGCCGCGTCGCCGTCCGCGGGCGGACACCATGGGCAAGAGCAAGGCCAGGAGGTTTCGGAGAGCCCCGTTCTCCCCAGCCGGCCCGCAGCAGGCCGCTAGCGGGGAGGGGCCGGCCGGGGAAGACGGCGATGGAGGCTCCTCGGCCGCTGAGCTGCTGGAGAAAGTAAGCGAAAGCAGCTCCTCCCCTTCCTCCCCGCAAGTCGGTCTGGGGGGGGGCTGGGCATAGGCTGGAGCCCTGCTGCTCCCCCCGTCCCCCCCCACTCGGCCAGTGCTGTGCAAGCAGCTCTCCCAGCAAGGGGGCCTCTCCTTTTGTGGGCCGGGGCCCCCCGCCCACGTGTGTCATGGAGGAGGAGAAGGCCTGTGTGTGGCTTCAATGGCATGCTTTGAGCCGTGCAGGCACGGGCAGATTGATGGGTAGGGGTTCTTTGAGCCTGGTTTTACCCTCCCCGGAATCTGGGAGGGGACCTGTGGTGTCTGTGCCGGAAGCGGCTGCACTCTGCACCTGGCTCAGGCTTGATTTGTGGTGTGCAGTAGCTAGCCAGTTTCCCACCCGGGATGTGTATGCTAGCCATACAGGGAGATGGACTTTTTCCCCCCTCCCTGCAACATCTTTTCAGAGGGAAAGGAGCTACAATGTGGGCTGTACCTTCTGTGATAGAGAAATGCACAGGTTGTTGTCACATACCAAGTGGTGGGGTGTCATCTGGTCAGTATAGAATCATACAAGTGTATTGAGAAGTCAAGTCCAGTCAGAGGCAGAACCAAGTAAATCTAGACCAGTGGTTCTGAAACTTTTGTACTGGATATTTCTGTTAATCCATTATTACCAGGTCTTGTGTACTGGATATTTCTGTTATTTGGTGTAGAAGTACCTCATTCACCTCCTCTTCTTGATTTGGTAGGCGGTACTAGCCCCTCCCATGACATCACCCCTATTTGTTGTCCATTTTATCTTTCCTTATATTACTTTCCACTGGTCTGTCTCTCACCCCCTGGAACTCAGAACAAGTATATATATTCTTGATGTATAACGCAATACCTCCTCCCTCTTTACCCTGCTTGTCTTTCCTGAACAAGCTATACCCTTCTATACCAGTATTCCCCTCATGAGATTTATCCCACCAAGTCTCAGTGATGCCAACTAAGGCATAATTTAGCTTGTGAACTCATATTTCCACTTCTTCCTGTTTATTTTCCATACCTCTTGAATTTGTGTATAGATATCTAAGATGTTGAGCAGATTTCCCCACTAATTTCCCTCTTGTTGCTCCTATGACCCTATTGTAATTTTCCGTCTCTCTCCCTCCCCCCCAACAACTAGTGCTCTGTTAAGGTCATTTTTTTTATGCTTACCTGTGAGCTTTTAGAGTAACAGCCGTGTTAGTCTGTATTCGCAAAAAGAAAAGGAGTACTTGTGGCACCTTAGAGACTAACCAATTTATTTTAGCATAAGCTTTCATGAGCTACAGCTCACTTCATCGGATGCATACTGTGGAAAATACAGAAGATGTTTTTATACACACAAACCATGAAAAAATTAAAAGAAGCTTTTGTCACCTGCCCCTTTTGAGTGTAGTTTAAAACCCTCCTTGCTAGGTTGGCAAGTTGGTGCTTGAAGATGGTCTTTCCCTTCTTGGTCAGGTGGACCCCATCTCTTCCCAGCAGACCTTCTTCCCAGAACAGCATCCTATGGTCGAGGAAGCCAAAGCCCTCCTGTTAACACCATCTGTGAAGCCATCGATTCATCTCCAGGATGTGCATGTTCCTCTCTTACCCTCAACCGGAGGACAGACGAAAATACAGCCTGCACTTCTGATTCCTTCACCCTCCCTCCCAGAGCCCTGTAGTCATTGTTGAACTTTTCATGGTTCTACCTGTGAGTATCATTGGTGGCCATGTGGATGAGCGGCATTCTGATTCCTTCACCCTCCCTCCCAGAGCCCTGTAGTCATTGTTGAACTTTTCATGGTTCTACCTGTCAGTATCATTGGTGGCCATGTGGATGAGCGGCATGGAGTAGTGGTCAGAGGGACAGATGAGCCTCAGCAGCCTTTCTGTAATGTCTCAGATGCAAGCTCTAGGCAGGCAGCACACCTCTCAGGACATCATGTCAGGTCTGCAGTTGGATACCTCTGTCTCCCTCAGAAGAGTCCCTGACTACCAGCACCCTACGCTGCCTCCTCTTGGGTGCGGTGGTTGTGAGCCTCCCCGTTTGGGGGTAGCTGGCAGCTCCTCAGCCATTGAGGTCTGCTCCTCACCTCCTGTAGCTGGTACGGCATACCAGTACTTTACCTTGATGAATGGGGGAGCTGGGTTGAGGGTGGAGCACAGTCTATGGTCTGAGGTGGCCATAGAGTAGCCAGTTCTTCTCTGGTGCAGTCGTTGTCTGTAGTTGGCTAGCATTCTCCATCTCAGATGTTTCCATATGCATTCTGTCAATCAAGTCCTCATGCTCTTGGATGCTATGCAGACAAGCTGCCTCATCCTGCAGCTCTCTTACTTGCTTCCTGAAAGACTCAACCAACAGACACCTCTCACAGCAGGTGGGAATGTGCAAGCTGCATTCTCAGCAAGTCTCCAGGGTATGAAGCCTCTAGGGTCAGTTTGTCTGTCTGGCGAGGGCCCCACAGCTGCAGGTAGAGGAAGATCTAGCAGTGGTATTGGCAACCCATCATTGTCCTCCCATGGCAGGTGGCTCTTTGTAGAGTTAAGGGAACTTAACTTCTTCTACAAATTAAGGGAAGGGGGGTGGGGAAATGAAAACAAAACCAACAACAGGAAGGGGGGGAAAAGATGTGATTTGGGAAACCACAGTCCTGTTAGTTTGACCTCAATTGTATGCAAGGTTTTGGAACAAATTTTGAAAGAGAGAGTAGTTAAGGACGTAGAGGTAAACAGTAATTGAGATTAGATGCAACTTAGTTTTATGAAAGGTAGATTGTGCCAGACCAATCTGATCTCCTTTTTTGAGAAGATTACTGCATTTCCTTTGTCTAAAAAATCAGTTGATCTAATCTACATGGATTTCAGTAAAGCATTTGATACAGTTTCATATGGGACATTATTAGTTAAATTGGAGAAGATGAGGATTAATATGAGAACTGAAAGGTGGATAAGGAACTGGTAAAGGGAAGACTACAGTGGGTCATACTGAAAGGTGAACTGTCAGGCTGGAGAAAGATTACTAGTAGAGTTCTTCAGGGATCGGTTTTGAGACCTATCGTATTTAACATTTTTATTAATAACTTTGGTACAAAAGGAGGGAGTGTGTTAATAAAATTTGCAGATGACACAAACTTGGGAGGTATTGCCAGTACGGTGGAGGATTGGGATATCAGACAAGAAGATCTGGATGACCTTGAAAACTGGAGTAACAGAAATGAGATGAAATTTAATAATGCAAAGTGCAAGTCATGCACTTAGGGACTAACAACAAGATTTTTTGCTATAAGCTAGGGCCTTATCAGTTGGAAGCGACAGAGGAGGAGAAAGACCTGGGTGTATTGGTTGATCATAGGATGACTATGAGCTGCCAGTGCGATGCAGCTCTGAAAAAAGGCTCCTAAGATGCACCAGGCAATGTTTTTCCAGTAGAGACAGAAAAGTGTTTAGTCCCATTATACAAGGCACTGTTGATACCTCATCTGGAATACTGTGTGCAGTTTGGATCTCCCATTTTTAAGAAAGATGAATTCAAACTGGAACAGGTGCAGAGAAGGACTACTAAGATGATCAGCGGAATGGAAAACTTACCTTCTGAGAGGAGACTCAAAGAGCTTGGCTTGTTTAGCTTAATCAGAAGAAGGCTGATAGGCGATATGATTGTGCTCTATAAATACATCAGAGGGATAAATACTACGGAGGGGGAGGAGTTATTTAAGTGCTAATGTTGAGACAAGAACAAAGGGATACAAACTGGCTACCAACAAGTTTAGGTTTGGAATTAAAGGAAGGTTTCTAACCATCAGAGGAGTAAAGTTGTGGAATGGCCTCCCAAGGGTAGTAATGGGGGCAAAAAACATATAAAGACTGAGCTTGGTAAGTTTGTGGAGGTGATTGTATGATAAGATTGCCATCAGTGGCATGTAGCTGATTTGTGACTGCTAGTAGCAGATGTCTCTAGTGGCTGGCGGTGGGAAACTAGGTAGGGAGGACTCCGAGTTACTACGGTTAATTCTTGCCTAGGTGTCTGGCTGGTGCGTCTAACTGATCGCCATATTTGGGGTTGGAAAGGAATTTGCTCGCAGGTCAGATTCACAGAGACCCTATTTTTTTTTTCGCTTTCCTCTGCAGCATGAGGCACAGGTCACAGATTTAAATAAGTGTAAAGGGTGGATTCTCTGTAACTTGAAAGTCTTTAAACCATGATTTGTGGACTTCAGTAACTCAGCCAGAGCTTATGGGTCTATTACAGGGGTGAGCAGGTGAGGTTCTGTGACCTGCAATGTGCAGGAGGTCAGATTGGATGATCATGATGGTTCGTTCTGACCTTAAAGTCTGAGTCTAATACATAACCATACCACCCTGCCTTCCTCCACTGGCAAACTTCCAGGTGCCTTCATCTCACCAGGCACCTGTTTTGCCACATATATCTCAGCTCTTCCCTTGAGTCTTGGTACCATTCTTGAGGAGGGAATGAGGAGGCAACTGAACATCTGAAGTTTGACTCACTCTTTTTTCACCCTGACTGTTGCTTTTCATAAAAGGGAGGGTCATGCAGAGTAAATGGCTGAACTTGCTCTCCCTTTAAAAGAAAAATAGTGTAGTTTAGTCTTTGACATGTAAAGCCCCCTGACCAACCCACTCCTCTATGTTCTTCCTGTTTGCAAGCAGAAGCCCTGCCCTGGGGAACTAGTATGTTTACTGGAGAGGGCAGGGGCAACAGTACTGGCCAGTCTTTGGTGCGTGGCACAGCTGAGCGTCTTCTGCCTCTTTCCACTTCTCTGCTGCTCCTGCTCTTTGAAACAGCTGTTTGTTGGCCCAGCAGGCCGTAAACCCTGTGAAAATTTGAGTCTACCTGAGCAGAGCTTTCGCCTGCAGACTGGGAGAGGAGATTGTCAAGGACTTGGCAATATCAAGAGAACAAACATTAAAAAAGACCCCAAAATAGATGTAGCCACTCACCCATCATAACCCTTCACTTTTCACTAGTGTCATTGAAGAGGATTGTACTTAAAGCTCATGTAGACATGTTATGAGTGTGGGTAATCAAATCTGTTTTTCCATAATCAGACTTTTGGTAGTCCGTGATTACTTGAACTGATTGAACAAATCATTGCTTCCCTTTTCTCTTGTATGCTCATTTTTCTTTTGATAAGATTTTTGCGTTTCAGAGTTTAAAATCTAGGTGAAGATCTTTTGATTTTTAAAAGTGTTTATTTCTTTTAAAATTTGTTAAGTCTTCTTCCTTTACAGAAATAAGAAAACATGATAACGAGGGGGAAGACAGTGCAGTGTGGGGGTGGGGAAAATGACAGGTTTTGTCTCTTGCTACAGTGTAACTTTCTAATCTCCTTTGTTGTATCTCCTCAGCTGCAGCATCCAAGTGCTGATGTAAGAGAGTTTGCCTGTGCCAACATTTCCAAAATGTTGCAGCAGAAGCATGCAATCCCAGCCTTTCTGCAGAGAGATGTAGTCCGGTGTTTGGGTCCCATGTTGCTTGATCAAAGTTTAGCTGTTCGTGAGACAGCTGCTGGAGCTCTCCGGTAAGTGATTTTTAATAATGTATTGTAGAAGAAGGAGTTACTGTTGGTACAGTAGAGAAGAGGAGTTTCAGATACAAGGAAACAACCTTGAATATTGTCATCTTTGGGATTTTTTACTTTAACCCTATTATATATATTGTTCTAATCAGAAAAGTCTTGATGTATGAATGCCTACAGTCCTGATCTCACAATGAGATTCATATGGACAGATGCTGATTGCCTTCAGTAAAGCTCCACAAGAGTCTTGTTGCAAGATCACAGCTTACCTTAGCAGTTGTTGCTACTCTGGTTCCTACTTCTTGTCATTTGTTGTTTTCCATCTCTGTAATAGAAAGAAATACTAAGGGGCAAAATTTTATGGGACTAACTGTATTGCACCTAGACCTACTGTTGTTGTTTTTTTTATTTGCACAGAAATATAATGTCAGTGTTAGTGTTTCCTTTAGAAATGTGTTTAGTAACAGTTTCCTGTAAATATTTTGCACACACATGCTTTAAAGATTAGCTTCCAGGATATCAGAAGGAAGGGCTTGGGGCTATGTTTCCCAAATGAAATCTTGCCATATTTTAGTAGGAATAAAAGTAAGCTCAGGGTACATCTACGCCGGGGGGGGGAGAGACTCATGTCAGAGTCTGAAAGCCCAGGTCAGCTGACTTGGGTTTGTGCTACAGGACTAAAAATAGCAGTGTAGACATTAGGGCTTGGGGTTGGGGCCTGGGCTCTGAGACCCTTTCTCCTCACCAGGTCCCAAAGCCCAGGCTCCAGCCTGAGCCTGAACATCTACACGGCTATTATTAGCCCTGTAGCACAAGCCTGAGTCAGTTACCCTGGCCTCTGAGACTTGCTTCCGTGGCTTTGGCTCATTGCTATACTATCTACAAAGGTCTTTTTTTTTTTTTTTTTTTCTTAAACTGAGTTTTATATATTTTTAGATTAAGAAATGTAAGAGACTAAAAGCAGGTGATTCATGCAGTATCACCTTAGTAATTAAATGTTACTTTAAAAAAAAAATAAGGCAAAACCTGTCATAACCTCTAAATCTGTTACTATAGAAATATTTAAATATACCATCTTTGAAATATTCAAAGCAGGTAACTTTATAATATGTGATCCAAGACATTTAACTTGTTCCAGAAATCTCAGTGCTTGTGGAGGATTTGAAGTTTGTGATGACATGGTGACTAAAGATATCATGACACCCCTTGTAGCGCTTTTGAAAGAGGTATGTTAATTTTTTTTAACTTCTATACAATTTTTAAATTGTCCTCGTCTTTCTTTTTTCAAAACTACCATGAAGTGTTTGTAAAATTGTTCTGAAGGAGTCACTTGAAATTTAGGCAGAAATTCTGGCAAGATTAATGTATCTCATAATGTTAGAAAAAAAAATTACAATTCTATTTGTAGTAGATACAATCAAGCAGAATTAAGATATTAGCTGAAAATAAATTGCACATGTGACAATCAGCAACCAGACACACCAAGAAGAGAACAGGGGGACTGAACCCTAAAGAATAAGCTGTTGAATCAGCTGATTGTGTATGATGATGATATATTAGACAAAAATGTCAAATAAACTTCAGCTCCACCTCTCAGCCGGACAGCGAGCAATCAGACAGGGAGAGGCACCTCCCAAGCCAGACTCAAGTAACCATTGCACAATCCACGAGAAGACAAAGATGGGCCATTAAAGTTAATAGAAAGTCATTGAGACAAGTGGGTATTTTCCCACTTTGAATATCTGTAGTGATTGAAGAAAAAGAAAACCCTACAAACCCTTTTAAAACGGAAGGGGTTGGAAGTGAAAGGCAACCGAGGGACCGTCTTTAGATGGGAAGCAGTCTGTGGATGCTAATGCCCCCCAAATCTAGGGTGTATGCTAGGAAACTGTTCAAAGGCAATAGGTAACTTGTATTAGAAAAGGGATTTCATTGAAGATGGAAGTGTAAAGTCTAAGGGCACTTCTGCGCTACAAATTTACATTGGCACAGCTGCAGTGAGTCTGGTGAAGATGCTCTAAACCGATCAGAGAGAGCTCTCCCGTCAGCTTAGTAACTTCACCTCCATGAGAGGCAATAGCTATGTTGGTGGGAGAATCTCTCCTGCTGACATAGCACTGTCTACACAGGAGGATAAGGTCAGTATAACTACGTCACTTGGGGTGTAGATTTTTCACACCTCTGAGTGACGTAGTTGTACTGAAGGAAGTATCTGACTTAGACCAAGGGCGAGGCTGCATCTTTGTTTGTTTGCTGGGTAACTTGTTTGTAGATTCATAGATATTAAGGTCAGAAGGGACCATTATGATCATCTAGTCTGACCTCCTGCACAATGCAGGCCACAGAATCTCACCCACCCACTCCTGTGATAAACCTCTCACCTATGTCTGAGCTATTGAAGTCCTCAAATCATGGTTTAAAGACTTCAAGGAGCAGAGAATCCTCCAGCAAGTGACCCGTGCCCCATGCTACAGAGGAAGGCGAAAACGCCACAGGGCCTCTTCTAATCTGCCCTCTAGGAAAATTCCTTCCCGACCTTAAATATGGCGATCAGCTGAACCCTGAGCATATGGGCAAGATTCACCAGCCAGATACCCAGGAAAGAATTCTCTGTTGTAACTCAGATCCCACCCCATCTAACATCCCATCACAGGCCATTGGGCCTATTTACCATGAATATTTAAAGATCAATTAATTGCCAAAATCATATTATCCCATCATACCATCTCCTCCATAAACTTATCGAGTGTAATCTTAAAGCCAGATAGGTCTTTTGCCCCCACTGCTTTCCTTGGAAGGCTATTCCAGAACTTCACTCCTCTGATGGTTAGAAACCTTTGTCTAATTTCAAGTCTAAACTTCCCGATGGCCAGTTTATATCTATTTGTTCTTGTGTCCACATTGGTACTGAGCTTAAATAATTCCTCTCCCTCTCCAGTATTTATTCCTCTGATGTATTTATAGAGAGCAATCATACCTCCCCTCAGCCTTCTTTAGTTAGGCTAAACAAGCCAAGCTCCTTGAGTCTTCTTTCATAAGACAGGTTTTCCATTCCTCAGATCATCCTAGTAGCCCTTCACTGTACTTGTTCCATGTTTGCTTTCCTTTACTATTTCATCTTTGAATCTGGGGTTTTTCTATTAAATCCACTTGTTTTTTTTTTAAACCCCCAAGCAGATCTGTTGTACAAACTGTATGGCGTGTGTGCGCCAAAGTAAACTGATAACTAGTGGGTCTGTTTCATGCCTTCATGGGAATGGTCCAGGTGCCTGGTATTTACGAACTTGGGGAGGATGGATTTGGGGAGACTCAGGACTCCAAGGGCTGTTGGAGTCACCCCTCAAGGAGTGACTAAGCTGGTGGAAGCCAGGGTGAGACCTTGTGCTTGGTGGGCTAGCTACTGATATCAGGGTTCTGAGTCATACAGCGTTTAAGGCACCCCAAGGTACAGAGCAGGTGGTGACATAGCTCCTTACTCATTTGGATGATCTCCAGCATGTCACAGTAGTGTAGTTGGTACAGGAGTTGCACTCCAGTATCAGTGAACTGAGGTTCGCTCTCCAAATACTTGCTGAACAAACCCTAGTGGATTCAAAAGTGAGGGAACAAAGTACAAGCTCACAGGTTGTTATATTCTTTTGTTTATTTTGTGTCAAGAGGAATAATGAAGGAAAGGGGAGAATGAGCAAATTAGAGTCCTGGTATGCAATGGATAAAAAGCAGCTAGGGAGCTTATGTTTGAAATCTGAGCCATAACAGCAGAGCATTAAGGCACCCCAAGGTCAGAAGGCAGGCAGTGACCAAGCCCCTTACTGGTTGGGATGATCCCCAAATGTCTCAGCTCCCTAAGGAATTGCTCCTAATCCCTTTTCACATAAATTATTACACAACTAGAACACTTTTTATTTCTGTGAGAGTTTACCAAAATGATATGCAAATCTAGAGAGAGATCCCAAGCAAGGACCTGATTCTGCACTCTGATCTGCTAGCACAGATCCCTGTGCCCACACAGAAATCCGTTGAAGTTAATGGGACCCCACACAGCTATAGGGAGAGTGAATCATGCAAGCAAATCTGATTGCAGGATCTTTACAATTTGACATTACATGCCACATCTACTGAGGTTCACAGTGAGTGCTCTAATCCAAATTAATGATTGAATTTACAGTTGGCAACGTTGTTGTACCAGTCACAGTAAGATAAAGTGTTTCTAATACCTCTAATTGTACTATATAGTCTCCATTTGGTCCAGTGAATAAGGACCAAGACTGGGAGTCAAGACCTGGGTTCCATCTATCCGCTGACTTTACTGTGTTTTGGACAAGCTATTTAACCTCTGTGCCTAACTTTCCCCATCTATAAAATGTGGATAACTGTCAATCCCTGTGTAGACTGCCCTTCTGAGACCCTTTTCCAGTCCACTGAGTGCATCCGTTTTAACTGGAAGGTCTCTACCTTCCCTTTGGGATGGGATCCCACAATCCTCCACTCTCCCACTGGGTCTCTGATTTACACCCGCTAGCTGTCAACCATATTAGTAGGCCCATAGCTTGGCACCTGTAAGAGTTTTCTTTGGGGGTTTGTGGACAGGAATAACATGCTGTGATACAGAAACAGATTCTTGAAAACAAAGTATATTTGTTTTGCCAAAGGGTACTCAGCTCTTAAAGAAGTGGATTTAAATTAACAGAGATCTACATGTACTCTCTTACCTACACTTGGCATTCCCTTTGAGGCCCCGGATAGACCTGACTTAGCCCTGCTGCCCCTCTCTTCTCTTTGGGCATCAAGTTACAGCATGGTTGCTGCAGACCCCTAACTTCCAGTAAGTCTCCGTGTCAGCCTGACAACTTCCCTCAGCATAGGGGCAATCATTGAAGAGAATACTGTTTCTTGAACCCTAGATTCTGAGCCTTGAGTATTATTTTACCTTTCCAGCCTGGTTTCTTCAACAATCCTTTTTGGTTTAAATACGCTTTCAGACAAGGTGAGTACACAGAAGGGAAAACTACGTTTATAAAAAAACAACATATTTCCCAGTTCTCCACATTAGCCATGTTTGTAAAGTGCTGTGAGATATGTAGACGACATTCTGTAAAAGTGTTTAATTATTAGCATTAATGGACATTCCAGTGTTCGTGAGAAGCATCTGCCATTGTGTTTTCTTGTGGCAGTCAGACAAAAGTTTAACAAGTTTATTTGTCTAGAAGAAAGTGCTTTTGAAAACGAGGGGATGTGTGACAAGACATAGTAAAAGGTGATTTTGTAAAGGTGTGTAATTTCTTTTCTGTAGAAAGGAATAGTTGAATTCGTATATGACCCTGAAGTATATGATGTTTGCCATGAAGAGTTGCAGATGAACTGTAAATTCTGTCATTAAGTAGCTGTCCTGAGATCTCTGCTTTTAATTTTTTTTCTCTTGTCCAGTTCTTTTCCAATTCCTTTTTACCTATTCGGTTACAGTGCAGTGCTGGACTAGAGGCCAACGAGGTCTCTCCCACGAAATGCCAAGATACAAAGAAAAATTGTGTTGAAGACATAGCCAATGAGGCTGTTAATGTGTTATGGAATGTATGGTAAGTTTCATTTTAATATTAACACAGATGCTTTTCTTATATATCTAGTTCTTTTGAAAAATGGTTTGACCTGATATGTCCCAGTGAAGATAAAAGCAATAATAGCTGGTCATTTCATTCCTGAAAGTAGTTTGTATATTAACATGGTTATCTCTTTTCAAACTTGAAAAATGTATTTATATACTTTTCCCCCATAAATGGCAAATAACATAAAACATGTTTTTTAAGTGAAAGATCGTGAAGATCCACAAAGTTATTATTTTAAAATTATTATTAATCAAGCAGGTAGGACTGTGCTGAAATCTGACTTCCAAGAGCTACTCAGTCTAAATCCTGATTTTGGCTTTTGTGCAACTACTAGACCATAATCACTTTGAAGGTGAAGACTTTCTGCAATTCATGGGAGACTGAAGACTGCACCTCCCAAAATTCCTGTAGGACCATTCTGTAATGGAGAAGTAGGGGACCATTATATGCCAACCAGGAGACTACAGTGCTGTTCCAGCCTCAGTGGGGAATGTAGGCCCCACCAGAGTCCCTACTGCTGGAGCCTAATGTTTTGCTACAATTAAACTACTCTCTGTGGGCCTGATCATGCGCTCAGTGGAGCCAATAGGAGTTTTATATTGATTTTGTTGAGTTCAGGCCTCTTGAGTTCTGGAATGCTCCAAATCATGGATTATATAAATGGGAGTCCCCCAGAATTCAAAGCGAAGCCGCAGAATGGAAACCTAGGATGGCCCGTATGCTGCTGGGCTCTGCATTCTCCACTGAAGGGGCAGAGTGGAGCTTCCTGATCTGCATATCCTATGCCCATTCTATCAGCGCCTGGAGATCACTACATGAAAGTGTAAAGAGTGCTGAATCTACAGGGAGAGGACATTAAGGAGAATGCAGAATGTCTAGATAGAAATATGGAGTATTGAAATGGGGAAAGAATTAAGACCTATAGAACATAGAGGTTAGTAAACCTTTGGGGTGTCTGTAATGGAGAGAAAGCTGCAGAAGAGTAACAGAATAGTGAAGAAAGTGCTGAGGTATGAGCCTTAAAGTGACCTATGCAGATCTGCAGTATAAAGAAAGGGAACGCTGACTGGGAACTAAGTTCAGCACAATGTTAAAATCAAAGGCAGCTGAAGCAATACGCAACACAGATTTGTCCACCATGTGCTTTCCCCAGGTACTGCAATCTCAAGGGGAAGATTAAAATGGTTGATCATGCCACCAGTGCTAGAAATAGCTTCCCCCTCCCTCCTGCTATCTGACATTATAAAGAGAAACGCCACTTGTTTCAGGCAGTCATCTCCTCTGTTGAGTCAGATCCTTCCACCTTCTGTGTGGGGATGGACGACCTTGTAGCAGTGGAACACAGCCGGTTATGCTATACATAAGAGCCATGATTTTCTAGCTATTAGGCTTCGCCATGGAGCCAATCTGCGGCCATGTCGGGGGAAAGAGTGAGGATTTCTTTTCTTCCTCCTCCCTCTGCAGATGTTCCCAGTGCCCGCTAGTGCTCTGATGCAGGAAGGGTGCTTAAGCATATTTAAGCATGTGACTAGTCCCATTACTAATTTACATCCATTTGTGTAGCTGACATCAAGAAAATTATAGGTTGCACAAAGAGAAACGGAAACAATATTAATAGAAACTCTAGTGCAGACATTGGTGTGACACAATCTGACAAAGACTTGGGCTAAGAGTTCAAACTGAATTTCAACCTAGAATGGTTTTTTGTTGTTCATTTAGACTCCATCATGTAAGCTGCTCCATGGGGGTGGAACCTTGAGACCATATGAAGCCCTACTGCCTTCATTGGGGCTCCAGGCATCTGCAAGCATGGAGTAGCAGCAGGGTTGGGGCCTTCGTGTCTAACACACACACACAACTATAAAATAACTGCATGCACAAGTCTCTGTGCTGCCACGTAACTTTTTGTTGTGTAACCCTTGCCCTCAATAGAACTGGATTTCTTGTATTCATTTGTCACTTGTCGTGTCTTATTTCAAATGTAAGTGACTTTGAGACAGGGACCATGTTTTGTAAAGCATTTAGCATATTTTGGGCACTAGACAAATAATAATTATCGCAAGTTTCCTGGCCATTGGCTAGGTTCTGTGGTGTTTCTGATCTGTAGAAGTCATGGTTCCGTCTTAATATTTTAGTTCTAAGTGAAATAAGTGAGTTAATTTAAATACATACAAATAAGATCAGTAAGATAATTAAAGTAAAAGGCACCTTTCAGATGGTTTTAGAAAAGTAGTACAGACTTCTGAATGTCAACTATCTGTGCTGGAACAATGACTTCTTATTACTGAATGGAAAAGAACCACCCTTCAAAGTGGAAAATGTGTCCTGAAGCTGTTAGTTTTTTAAAATGAATTAATAAAAATATAAATTCCAAAACTAAAATGTTTGAATAAATTGTTAGAGCTCTATTATAGTGACTTTTGTTAAAAGTGAAAAATGTTTTATCATTCTTTGTTTTTCTTAGTGAGTGCAATGGTACGGCAGTATCTGTATTTAACAAAGAAGGGTGCTTGGATGTTGTGTTACAATATTTGAAGAAATTTTCCACAAATATAGATCTGGCTATCTCAGTAGGTAAGTGGTGAAAAGGGTAGTGATCATCATGTAGTGTTTTGAGCTACGAATATATACCTAGCCTTTCAATACACTGTATTATATGGTCATATTAATGATCCTATAGATTCACAACTGAAAATAAGAACTTCAGAAAGCCTTCTTCTAAAAATTACACTTTGGAGTTTGACATCTTGTATGCTTGTTTTCCCTCTCACTCAAGCATGACAATACACCATTCCCCTTTTGGAGTGAAGATTTTCTGGAGAAAAATAAACTAATTTAGATTTTTTAGGGATGAGTTTGTAATGCAAGGGGGCACCATCAATTGAAAAATTACACTTCTCTCTGAAAATGTTTGCTCTAACTAATATTGTTACAAGTACTTCAAAACATTTCCACTGTTTCTCTTGTACAGTCAGTCAGGGCTTGATCCACATACTTCATGTGAGTAACTGAATTCAGTGGGACTGTTCTCTGGGTAAAGTTATTCATGCCCAAAAGGGTTTGCAAGACTGAGCTCCAACATTGCTTTCACCTATTTGTGCGTATCTTTCATGCAACATAAAAGGAGAAGAAAACCCTTTTTTAGTTGAAAAACGGTTATTGTTGGGGCAGTGTAGTACCGTAAACTACTTTTATCCCACACTTGTGAAATTGAACAGCTTTCATGATGATAGTGTCTATCCAGTTAGCGATCTGAAAACATGACATTTTTGTTTGGTTGGTTTTTGTCACTACAGCACATTGCTTGCAGGCAGTGACAGAAGATAACCCAGAGCTGCTTTCTTCTTTCAATGCTTCTGCGCACCAAGTATTGGAATCCATAATGTTGTCCCAAGACAGTACCATGGAGCATATCCTTTTAAGGACATTGTTGGCAGGTATGATCAACTGGACCCTAACTTTTATATTTGAATATGCTGTATAGAAGGTAAAGTGGGATGGGAGAGGCAGAGGTTTTAGTTCTCCATCATGCCAAAGTAATAGCAACAAATTATGTTGTTGCCAAAGTGCCAGCTTAGAAGCAAGAGCTGGGTAGATTGTTCTCAAATCTATTCCTGCCACTGTTATGCCTTTGTCAGGGAGCCTGGGGTTTCATGTCATTTTTCACAGCCACGTAGCGTAAGATAGCCAATATCTGAATCATGCCTAAAGGCACTGTCTCTTGATTGTGACTTCAGTTCCAATTTGGTTTGGTGTTACTCAGTCATTAGTTCTTACTAAGGAAATAAGGCAGTAATAAATATTAAAGAAACTATGTTGCTCTTGACCTTATCTACACTGGGCTTTCAAGCATTTGGAAATAGATTTTGAACTTTGCTTTAGCAAGAACAACATTTAAACCATTTCTAACATGATTTATCTGGCCACTCTGTGTGAGGCCAACCTATTATACTGTAACAGAGATTTTGAAAGCAGTTTTACACCAGTTTGGCCTGTCCAGGCTGGCCAATCAAGACTTGTCTGAAATTGGTTTAGCTGGAAGAGTGTTGAAACAGACTTTGAAAATCTGTTTTCAAACATGGTTTTTAAAGCCCAATATAAAGTGCCTGGGCCATTGGATGCTTTGCCTTCAGCTTCACCATCTTGTGTTACACCTTCCAGTTAAGATGCTTAATTCATGATGATTTCTGACACTGAAGTACAGTTAACTAGAATTCTCCTATCTAAAGCACTCAGTACCTGTGCTTGGACAGGGAGGGTTTTATTTAATTTCTTTTTATTTTTTGACTGTTTATAGGTCTGACGAATAATAAAATCAAGCAATGTAATGGGAAAGAAAATCTCTCCCTTCGTCCTTTTAAGACCATGAATAGCTCAAAATTAAACTCATTCAGTGTCCTGAAGATCTGCTATATAAATCAGGAAACGTGTCACCAGGATTGCCCTATGGAAATATTTTGTCCATTTTCATGAGATGAGGTTTGCCCCAGCTTAAGGTTTTGGGCCTTGAATGTTCGATATAGGTTGACACTTGAAGAACTGAACAGAAAGGCACAAGTCTATAGGAAACTCCTAAAATTTCAGTTCATAAGGGACTCATGTCTTTCTGAAGGAGGCAGTTGTTTATCACTTTATGCAAGGGATTGGAAATCGGGGGGCATGGGTTCTGTTTTCAGCCATACCATGAAACCTCTGATCATGGGGAAACTTTTATGTGCCTTAGATTCTCCTTTTATAAGATGGGGATCTATATCTGTGTTTGAAAAATACTTTGAGATTCTTGATGAAAGATGTGGCATAGATACTGAGTACTATAGTTAGCACAAGCTCTGGTTTTGCAATGGCTACAAGAAGGCCGTGCACCATGTAGCTTAAAGGTTTTGACATTCTCACTCTCCCATGTTTAGGCTCTGTCTGGAATATAAAGGACACCATTCCATCCAGTAGCCAGGCAAGCACAATAAATGCTATCCTGAAGATTTTCTCAGAATCACTAGTGGTGGATGCTGGTGAAACAGTTATTCACATGAAGGAAGCTGAAACACAAAGATTAAAACTCACTGCAGAGGCAGAAACTGAGGAAAATGTGGGTGATATAATAGACAACTCTGTATTGAATGAAGATGATGAAATGGAAGAACCACCCAAAGGAAAAATCAAAAGAGACAATGACATTTCAGATCTACTTCCAGTAAGTGTGGCAGATTGTGGCTGACATAGCGCTTAGGGCAGTGTTATGCTTCTGATAGTCTTTGGTTAACTGTCAATCTCAATTTCCTGTAACTCATTCGCAGAAGGGTGAAACTTTCCCAAAAAAATTCAGCCACACACTCCTGGCATAGAGAATTTCATCCTGATCTGTTAAAGTTTGGCAAAGTTATAAGCAACTGAAAATGGGATCCTATAATGGAAGGTTCATCCTTAATTATAGACAGAGCTACCAGAATGGTATCAGTGCTATCTCCTTTTCTCTGCCAGCTGGCCACCCAGACAGGAAGTAGCAGTGGCTGCTGGGGCTAGCGTGTGGCTTCCCCCCCTTCCTCTACCCGCCCCCCCCTTTGACATAGGACCATCATGCTAACCCCCATCATGCAGCCACAGCCTCCCCATGGAGTGGGAGGCAAAGGGAGCCTTGGCATTTGTGCCTGTCTTGTGAAATTCCAACACTTACCCATGATTCTGCTATGATTTTTTTTTTTAATCCCTGCAGTTTACAAAAGGGCCTTACAATTAGACCAAATTTGGGCAGTTTTTCATTGGGACAGCAAAAGGCATATGCCTGACACAAAGCCCAACCTTTGGCAAGTTTCAGGTCCCTGCTCCAAAGCATGGGGGTGCTAGACCTTTTCAGGTGAAAGATTGCCAGAATTTAACAAGGGCAAAACAGTAGCCTCCTTCTCAGAAACCACTGAGTCATTATGGCTGAAATTTTTTAAAATAAATTCAGCCTGAAGCAGACACCCAGCCTGTCAAATTTCAGCCCAAATGGTTAAAGTTTATGAAGTAACTGAATTAATGGGAAGTGCCGGGCAACCTTAGTAGACAGTGGTACCAGTCACACCTATAATTCTTTTTTACAAATTATAAGAATTTGGACATATTGAAAAGGGGGAAAACAGAACAATTCTGAGATTTTGGCAGGTTTTGATGAGATTAGACCTTTCAGGATGACAAGTGGCATAGATACTGAAGTGGACTTGATCAAGGCTAATGCAATGCTGAATGAGTTGTTTTTGTTTTTGTTTTTACTGCCAATTTATCAGAGGTAGGCAATTAAGAGCTCACACACCTCCGAGTCTGGTAGTGTTTTTGAAGCAGAGATCTCATACCCGTCCAGCGAGACCTATTGTCCTTAGAACAATATTCCCTACTAATCTCACTTGTGATCTGTGTCTATTAGATAGAGGTTCTATTAGTCTGCAGAACGAAATACTAAACAATTTCTGCAGTTTGGCACACAGCAGTATTAGTAGAACATTTGATATTCTCTTTTCTGTTAGTTTTTTATGTGACACCTATTCACAATTATCATATTTTATCTGTTTTGGTTGACAGTCTAGCTGCTTTAAAATTAGAGTGCTATCCTCCAAAATTAAGTTTGTTTGTTTTCTATAGGCTGATAAGTGGGAGCTGAAACAAGTGACAGCCTTACTGATGGCTCAGCAGACAGCCCTGGAAATCATTGTTAATATGTGCTGCAGTGAAGGTATGTAGGCCGCTTTTTCATTGTTACCAAGGCTTCCATTTTTAGTAACATGGCAAATTTAGTTGGACTGGGATCTTATCTAACTTGACCTGCTAATCCTCCCATTCTTAAAAGTGAACAAACCATGGATTTGCATCCTTTAATGCCCCTTACTGTACATAAAGAATCTCAAGATACTAATTTCTAATCCTTTTTTCTATGTGTTTGACATTGCAGATTTGAGGTGTATCAGTTTCAAACTTCCCTCTTTGTTGGAGTCCTTCAGCAAAATTGTACGCAATCTGAAGCCAGGTTTCCACTTAAGTTTCACCAGACTTAGCTCTGTTGATTAGGGGTGTGTTTTTTGTTTGTTTTTGCCGTGACATAGCTGTGCTGTCAGATGCCCTAGTTTCTGCAGTTATATTGGCAAAAAAGTGCTTTTCTGCTGTAGCTTATTTTGCTGGCTGAACACAGGAAAACTGTATCAGCTTTTGCTGGGATAACTGCATCTACAATAAGAAAGTTTTGCCAGGCTTTCAAGTGCAGGCAGGGCCAAAGACTCAACAGATATTCCGTCTTCAGTTAGGGGCTGGGTGCACTGCAGCTCAGGTTTCAGCTTTTTGTGGTGTTGCTATCCAGGCCCACCGTCAAAGAGGGAAATTTGAACCCGATACCATTGATACTTCTAAATTTAAAAAAAAAGGGGGGGGGAAATGTTTTAAAGAGTAATGTAGCAAATGTCTTTTTATGGCTCTGGAGCAGCAACTCTTTTGTTTACTCACTAAATGATAAAATCATCAATGGTTGGTTTTAAAAGAAATGGGACAACACCATTGAAATGTGCATCGTTTATTCTTTGGACCTTCTGTGTGAAGAATCTCTTAGTTTTTCTTATGACTGCAGCAATGCGAGAGAATCATTAGTTTGTTTTTAAATCATGGTTTATATATAATATTCTATTTTTTATCTCCATTATTGCTATAGGACTTGCTATAGCAGCTGCAGTTGAGCATCTCAGTTGCTTTCTTTAGATTTTAAATAATTACAATAACTCTATCTCTGTTTTTGTTAATCTGTGCACCAGACGTTTTTATTTTGCGGATATTAAGAACTTTCCCAGTTGTCTTGCAACTATTTAAAAATGTCAGCTTGAAGTTCATGAAAGTAATTTCAAAAATTAACTGTCTGATAGTCTTTTTTAAATAGTACATCTTGACTTTCATTTTTATTTAATTTGGATGGGGATAAATAAATAACAAAGGCTTTTCTAATCCCTTGTTTTGCTTATGAGAGTTTCCTGGGCAAGCCTGAGAGCAACACCACTAAACTTACTCAAGCCCACCTCTCCTCCCATCCCCTTCCTTTATGTGCATAGATCCACCTCTTCAGTTTTAGGTTTGCTGCTGTTACTGATAAACACTCTTCTTGGGGAAGAATATGTGGATAAACTCCCCCTAGAGCAATGCATGAAAGTGATGATACTAACCACCAACAAAAGAGAAACTGATTTATGCATGAACTTCTGTGCAAATATACCTAGTACATTGGAAAAAAATAGATTTTTTTTCATTAATTTTTTGTTCTAGTAAACTTAATGGTTATTTGCAGGAATAGTAGGTACAACATTTTCAGCTGGAAGTGTGGTTTTCAGGTTGATAATGGCTCTTTAAGAATAACTTACAAAAACCTCTTCCCCCCCCCTGCTACTCTCCTCTCCTCTCCTCCCCACCCCACCCCACCCCACCCAGTTCTTTATGTCCCAGGACATTCAGTGCTATTAAGGCTTTGATCCTACATTTGGATCTGTACGGAGTGTGCAGGAAGGTGGCTCTTGAGCAGAATCCTGGACCGTGAATAGGATTCCATGAGCACCTGGATCCACTTGCAGGATTGGAGCCTCAGTTTGTTACAGTAGATGGATCTTCTGCTGTGCAATCACATTCTTGTTATGGAGCTATCTTCTTCATCTTGCGTTGGCTTTCTTATTCTCTTTTGTTTTGTTCCATTTGTCCTTTAGTGTCTTTGCATCCTAGACTTGTGGAATGCAACTTCAAAAGTGGGAGGAGAGGCAGCTTTGTACTGTGCTGATAATAGGAATTATATGCACACAATGTGGTTTGTGCAAGTATTTCACAGGGCTCTATGTACATGAAGCTTCTTTTGAAAACAGGCTGCTTTACTTTTAAAAGGGGGAGGGAGGAATTTTTTTTTTCTGTTTTGACTTCAGCAGTTAGTCTGTCTCTTTTTTTCAATACTAGTTTATTAGTCATTCTTTTGACAGTTAATAAAATAATCAAATAACTGAGGAGTCTTCAACATGAATATTAAAATAAGTAGCTGAAACTTTTAATCTCTCATACTACTGCTCCTGACCATAACGTAAATTTGATCCCCAAGCTACCCACATTTAGGTGATAACTTCTTAAGTAAATCTTGCTGGTTCTGATGAAAACCCTACTAACACCATATATTCCCTTTGGTAATTTCTACCATGTGAGAAAATCTGCACCTAATAAATGAAGGTCTTTTTAAACTGAATATCTCATCTAATGAACAGTAATTCATAAGATTTCCTCATTTAATTAGAAAATCTCTTGTGGGTAGCTGCATATGCTGCTGTTTGTTTACTCAGTATAAAATACAAACCCCTTGCATTACTACAGTACTATCCAGTCCATGATTAGACGGAAATAAGGTCTGTAGGAATTAAGAGGAATCCAGAGACAGGTGTTCATTTAATTTTCAGGTTGCTTAGGGACTAAGATATTTTGATTTCCGAACTTCAGCCAGTGTACTGAATTCAGACATACCCTGCTTACCAGGCATGAGACAGACTCCACACCCCAGGTCCTGGCTTCCTTTCAAGGGGGCATAAGGCAGGGAGCAGGAGTCATCAGGTGGGGCTGCAAGTGGGTTTGACTGGGAATCATCTGTAATGAGGAAATATATAAATATATTGTTATATATGTATATATGTAAATATATTCCTTGCCCTCTACAGATGCAGTCTTGGAATGAATAAAAATATACCAAACTCAGCATTCTGTTCCATCCTGTAGTACTTGATAAATTGAATAAGCTTAACCTAAACATCAGCCTTTTATTAAAATAATTCATATGATATTGGTTTAAAGTGTCTTGCACAAGGCTGTAGGCTTGAAATGTACTAGAGCACTAGTTCCTAGAGACTATCATGTAAAATTTTTCTAGAGTTAAGCTGGGCATCAGACACTAGTTTGCACACTAGATAATTCAGGAGTTGGGTTGTCTAGTTTGTGCGTGACTTCAGATTTCATTTTTAAATCTATGTTCTATTCTCAGATCCCTCTGATGACGAATGGGAAGAACTCTCCAGCAGTGATGAGAGTGATCTGTTTATGGAGAATTCCTACGATGAGGGCAGTGGGCAGCCCATGTCACCCCTTTGCCTCTCTGCTGAGGTTCATGCAGCACTCATGAACAACCTCATTCCAAAGAAGGTAGAACTGCTGTATATCATCTGATCACAACTCAAATTCAGTCTTTTCACTGTTTGATTTAGACCCTAGTTTAGACCAACAAATTATTCTAATCCAACTATAGTACAGGAAGATTTATCTTTGATTAACCTTTAGCGTTTTTTAAAAATCCTAGATATGTAGCATCATTCATGCAAACTGACTTAACTTAAATAATTCTGTGGTGTAAATGAGACTCAAAAATTCCTCCAGTATGTCAGGAATGAAGTCAGATATTGGGCTTTTCTGAATCGGTGCAGGATTTTCCAAGTTGGATATATTAAGGGTGACCTGCATAGAGAAAATGGAAATTGTACAAGCCATGGGAATAAATGCCAGTTTTCACTCCTATCCAGGCTGGGGGAGAATGCCAGAGAGCAAATTGAAATAAATACAAACTTCTCCCCCTGCCCCTCTTAAATTGTTAATTTCTATAGTCTACTTGCCAATTCTGAGTTTGCTGTTGAGTCCCCAGAACTCATCTTAGTAGGATTTCACAGGCATCAGAAAATATGAAACATTCATTTTTAAAGTGACTATAATAAAGATTTTCTTAAACATTGTACACAGTCCCTGTGTCTACGCACTTGGAGGCTCTCTGCTGCATCAATGCTTAGATCGATTCTCCAGCATGACTGTTCTGGAACCTCAACAATTAGCCTTTAACTAGTGAGAAGATTTCTATATGAGCTGTAAGAGAGGCAAAATAAACCGTCTGTGCTGACTACCCTTCACAGCCTAGATAGAGACAAGGTGGGTGAGGTAATATGTTTTATTGAACCATCTTCGGTAGGTGAAAGAGAAAAGCTTTTAAGCCTCACCTGAAGCTGGAGGTCGCCTGAAGAAGAGTTCCGTGGAACTTGAAAGCTTGTCTATTTCACCAACAGAAGTTGGTCCAATAAAAGATATTACCTCACCCATCTTGTGTGTGTCTTCCTGGGTCAAACGTAGCTACAACAACACTGAAAACTTCATAGCCTAGTCACATCATATAACATTCTTTCTAGTCTACTAATCGCTCAAGAGGATGTTAAACAGTGGTTGTTAAAGGTAGACATTTTTAATCCAGCAGTTCCAGATAACTAGCACCCAAAAGTTTTAAAGGAGGTAGCTGAGGAGCTTGCAGAACCATTAACATTGATTTTAGGTCTTGGAATGCTGGGGAAGTTCCAGAAGACTGGAAGAAAGCTAACTTTGTGATTTAAGAACATAAGTATGGCCATACTGGGTCAGACCAATGATCCATCTAGCCCAGTATCCTGTCTTCCGACAGTGGCCAATGCCAAGTGCTTCAGAAGAAATGAACAGAACAGGTAATCATCAAGTGATGCATTCCCCACTTCTGACAAACAGAGGCTAGGGACACTTCAGAGCATGGTTTTGCATCCCTGCCCATCATGGCTAATAGCCATTAATGCACCTATCCTCCATGAACCTATCTAGTTCTTTTTGAACCCTGTTATAATCTTGGCCTTCACAACATCGTCTGGCAAGGAGTTCCATGGGTTGACTGTGTAGAAATACTTCCTTTTGTTCATTTTAAACCTGCTTCCTAATTTTTGTTTTGGTGACCTCTAGTTCTTGTGTGATGAAAGAGAGTAAATAACACTTCCTTATTTACTTTCTCCACATCAGTCATGCTTTTGTAGCCCTCTATCATATCCCCCCTTAGTCGTCTCTTTTCCAAGCTGAAAAGTCCCAGTCTTATTAATCTCTCCTCATATGGAAGCTGTTCCATACCCCTAATTGTTTTTGTTGCCCTTTTCTGTACCTTTTCCAATTCCAATATATCATTTTTGAGATGGGGCGACCAGATCTGCTCGCAGTATTGAAGATGTGCCAAATATGGTGCCAGTATTTAAAAAGGGTAAATGGGACATTCTAGGTAATTATTGGCCACTCAGTCTGACATTGATTCTGGGCAAGATAATGGAGTGGATGATATGGGTCAATTAAAAAAGAATTAAAGGAGGGTGATATAATTCATGCTAATCAACATGGGTTTATGGCAAATAGATCCTGTGCTACTAACTTGATATCTTTTATGGATGAGATTGCAAGTTTGGTTGATAAAGGTAACTGTGTTGCCGTAATAGACTTTTGTAAGGCATTTGATTTGGTACTATATAACATTTTGTTTTAAAATTAAAACAATATAAAATTAACATGGTACATATTAAATGCAGTGGAAGCTGGCTAACTGATAGGTCTCAAAATATAATGGTAAATGGGGAATCGTTATTGAGCGGGTATGTTTCTAGTGGGGTCGTGCAGGGATCGATTCTTGGTCCTAAACTATTTTACATTTTTATTAATAGCCTGGAAGAAAACATAAAATCACTGAAAGTTTTCAGGTGACCCAAAAATTGAGGGAGTGGTAAATAATGAAGATGACAAATCGCTGATAGAGAGCAATCTGGATTGCTTGGTAAACTGGGCGCAAGCAAGCAATTAACATTTTAGTACGGCTAAATGTAAATGTATACGTCTAGTAACAAAGAATGTAAGCCATACTTACAGGATGGGGGACTCTATTGGGAAGCAATGACTGAAAAAAGATTTGGAGGTTGTGGTGGATAATCAGTTGAACATGAGCTCCCAATGTGACCTTGTGGCCAAAAAGGCTAGTGCAGTCCTTGGATGCATAAATGGGAATCTCAAGTAGAAGCAGAGAGGTTATTTTACCGCTGTATTTGGCATTGGTGTGATTGTACTGTCATACTATGTCCACAATTCCAGAAGGATGTTGATAAATTGGAAAGGGTTAAGAGAAGGGGCACAAGAATGATTAAAGGTTTTGAAAACATGCCTTGTGTAGTGATAGACTCAAAGAGCTCAATCTATTTAGTTTAAAAAAGACGAGGTTAAGGGATGACTAGATTACAGTTTATAAGTACCTACGTGGGGATCAAATATTTGATCATGGGCTCTTCAGCCTAGCAGAGAAAGACATAACCCGTTCCCATGACTGGAAGATGAAGCTAGACAAATTCAGACTGGAAATAAGGAATAAATTTTTACGTATAGTTTATCAACCAGTGGAACAATTTACCAAGGGTCTTGGTGGATTCTCCATCCCTGGCAATTTAAAAATCATGATTAGATGTTTTTCTGAAAGATAAGCTCTGGGAATTATTTTAGGGAAGTTCAGTGGCCTGTTAACAGGAAGTCAGATGATGATCATGGTGATCCTTTCTGCCCTTGGAAGCTATGAATCTAGTTATTTTTATTCCTACCCTTCCCTGCCCCAATCTCAGCACCGGTTTCTGTGGTTAGGACAATTTTTGCTTTTGCTCTCTAGGCCACTTTAACAGAAGCAGAGCCATGACTCTTACTGTTTATTTTAAAATATACGTACATATACTTGGATCCTTCTCAAAAATACACCGTATTTTGTTAACAGGTTAAGAGATTTGGGTTGTTAAAACTTGTTTCAAATTCATCTTTACAACTGATGCATCCCAGGAAAAATAACTTTAATCCTCCAGTACTTAAAAGGACACCAACTTAAAATATCATGTTCCTGGAAAAATATTTCACCTGCTACTTTTACAAGTAACAACTCAGATAACTGTAACTGGCAGCATGAGAAAAATATTCGTTTTAGTTTGTTTGCTTTATTTGACAGTGTTTTGGGGTTTTTTTTGCTTAGTCACTCTTGCTTTTTCTGTGTAAAGTCAGGTGAGTTTCCTCTGGGTGTGTAGGTTTTTCATGCAGTGACAGGGAAGAGGAAAACATTTTTTAAAATAAGAAAATGGGACTGTAAAATAACAAAAATTCAAAGGGGAACTTCAAGTTAGGTGTAAAATCTGAGACAAGTTTGAGTACATTTAAAAAAAAAATTGACTGATTTCACATTGAAGGTGTGTTCCTTTGTAATAAAAAGATCAAACTTCCAAACATTTTGTTCAGTGATAGTATGTACTATGAAGTCATATTGGGAACTCTGCCATTAGGGATTGGTGTTAACATAAAGATGCGTCATCTAACTGTGTCGGTGAAGTAGTTTGATTTCTTTCAGACAAGGATCCAGAATGACACTGGAGGATCTGAGGAACATCTGTTTTTTGGGTTTTTTTAAGCCTTTCCTGTCATTCTTTGATAGTCTGGTTTGCTCCCTCCTTGCTACAGAGTTCTTTGTGTGAATAACCAGAGAACGCTCCAGAGATCTTCCTGTTGATCTTTCTGCCTTTTCAGCTGCGGGAATCTTACCTCAACTTTTTAACCTTAAAAACTTGGTATGAGGGATTGGCAAAAGTTATGGGTTGTTTATTTGTAAAGTGCCTTGCTCATTCTTAATTGTGAGTTGCCAAGGTAACATGCGCATCTTGCTGTTGTTGTAGTAGTTTGGCAGTGTGATAGAATTGAGAACAAAGGGGGTGTCTACATAAGATAAACTGTGTACTCTGTCAAACTCAACCTAAAATATCTGGCAAGATCCGTGGATTCTGCAGCATTGTGGAAATTATGCAGCATATTTATTTTAAATTGTTTAAAGAGGTTTTTGATTAAATATGGAAACAAGTAATTTATAATGTAATTTAATATAAAAAATCTTTATATTATGCGAAGCCCAGGGCATAACTTCATTGTAGAAGTTGTCAGGAGAGAAGCTGGTGATTCTGGGAGTTGAGTGAATCATGGTTGGAGTTTTTGACATCTGGGGAAGCGCTGGAGGTCGTTTGGGATTGTGGGATAAATATGTAGGTTAATGTTTCTGCTGAGTGATCAACAAAGAAATACACATATTGAATCTATTTCCCTAAGTTAAGTATCCTCTCACCTTCTTGTCAACTGTCTAAATTGGCCATCTTGATTATCACTGCAAAAGTATTTTTCTTCCTGCTGATAATAGCTCATCTTAATTAATTAGCCTCTTACACTCTGTATGGCAACTTCCACCTTCTCTGTATGTATATATGTATCTCCTTACTATATGTTCCAATCTATGCATCCAATGAAGTGGGCTGTAGTCAACGAAAGCTTATGCTGTAATAAATTTGTTAGTCTCTAAGGTGCCACAAGTACTCCTGTTCTTTTTGCGGATACAGACTAACACGACTGCTTCTCTGAAAGAAATAGCTAACATTAAACTGTCCTTCACCCCGAAAAAACCTGTTGCTGAACTTTTTTTTTCCAGATTCTTGAAAAAACAGCTTTTCCGAACAGCGTTGCTGTAGACATCTGTATGCACAGTCCATCTTGGAAGCCATTAATTAGAAAGTAGGAATTTCTTTGACTTTTTTACATTTTCAGTGTATTAATGTAACACTAGATCTTCAGTTTCAAGATCTTTTGTACCACAAACATTGATATTTTGTGTGGTTCATCTTGGGTCACCCTAGAGAACTGGACCTTACAAGTCTGCTACATTGTTTTAATAACAAGATACAAATATTTACATGTAGATACTTTGTGATCCCCAGGTAAATTATACCCCACCTCAACGTTGCATAATTAAATTAAAATTCTTTGTTTATATTGATAGTTTTTTAATTAATAGAGCCTCAATAGGCATATTTCTTTTATTTACTTTGTTCCAGAATGAACACAGTACAGTGCAGAGCTCTAATGTGTCTCCATAGCATTTTGTTAGTATCAGATGTGGATTGTCTTGGAGGAGCTTCAACACTTCAGTCACTTGCACAGCACCTCTCCCAGCTAGTTTTTTCTCAACCAGGTAAGTTAAAGGCCATAGTGATAAAGAAACTTAACTCAGAAGAGTTTGATTGCTTCTATTATAAATACATTTTATACATAGCATTTAATTTAATACTAGTTTATTACTAATCCCCTCCGCACTTCTTTCCAAATGCAAGAAAACCTGATGTTGGGAATATGCTGCCATGCACCAAAGCTATCTAAACCCCACGTAATCTATTTACCCAGGAAAGCTCTGATCAAATAAAGTTTTTGGAGTGTGTAGTATATGCAAGCACTAAAATATAAAGTGACTTAACCTGTGAGGGAGCCCCATCCTAACGTGAAACCACATCATCTGTATTTGGTCATCACTACCTGTGATGGTGACAGTTTTTTCCATTGATCACATAAGGCAAGCTATTGTCAGGGAGAACAGGACTTCTCCCGAGTATGTCTGAACAAATCTGAATTTGCGAGAATTCACTTCTCTGAAATGACATGTCACCAGCATTATAATTCAGGTTAGGCACCACAGGAAGCTCGTCCCAAAGTGATTTCCAAAGCTGAAACAAACTCTAGTATTTGCATACTTATCAAAATAGGAAATATAACAGGCCTCTCTTTCTCCAGGGCATAAGTTATGTGTGTATTTTTTGTGTACCACTCTTGAAAATGTATATCTCTAATAAATTTAATCATCTGCCCCAAACATTTTACGTTTAGGACTAAACATCAAAGCTGCTTATCAAATTTCCTGGAATGATGATGATTTAATTTGAATGAAGATGATAAACCTGTTGGACAATGTTCTTTTAAAACAGCACTGTTGTGGAGTAGCAAACTTATCCCTGTCTCTAAAAAGCTTCTGTGTTAATTCCACTGAGAGATATTGTGAAGATTTTCCAGTTACTAATGCTGCTTTCAGACTGAGAGGTGACCAGCTGATAAGCAAGCATGCTGGAAATTAATAGTTTAAGGGCCCATCTACACTACAAGAACAGCATTAGCCCATGATTCTCTGCTGTGGATAAGAGTGTCTGATGACAGATGCTCCTAGCTGTAGCAGATAATCATGCTAACACACAATTATTGTTGACAGGCCTAGAAACACTGTAGTGAATTATGTGGACTACTGGTATAAGTAGCTGTTCAAAGCTCTAGTCTCCTAACTGGGATAGGAATCTGTAAGGTGCCACAGCAGGTTTTTACTCTTGCAAAAGCCTGTAAATAGCAACAAAAGCACATTAGGGGAGAATGAAAAGTGTTAAAATACAGAACAATATGCATGCAAGAAGATGGTTGGTATTGGGGAACAGTTGAATATTCAAAATTTTGTGGGCACAGGTTGAGTCTTAGGTTTCCAGGGTTTACTGCATGCCAGGGGGAAACTAACAGGTGAACAAACATGTTCTGTGCGTTAACTGGGGAGATATTAATATTCTGGGTGCATGTTGGAGCTCAGAGTCCCAGGAAAAGGACTGGATGTCTTATAAATCTGCTTAAGAGAGCTAGGAATTGAGTTTTAAAATACGCCCTTAGCTCCTTTGCAGTGCTCCTCTTAGTGCTCCAGTGGGGCTTATGGTCTGAAATATTGTTGTGGGACACTTGTGCTGAATTTTCAGTTTGGCCTTAAATAGGCCTCTCTTTTTGCGTGCATAATTGTACACCTATATGTTATGTCACTTAGAAGTTCTAGTCCTGGATTGTTTGGGAAAACTAGGACTTTAGACATCTGTGGCATAAGTTGTAGGTACAAATACACTTCTACCCCGATATAACACGGTCCTCGGGAGACAAAAAATCTCACCGCGTTTATAGGTGAGACTGCATTATATGGAACTTGCTTTGGCCCCACCTGTTCTTTGTTCCCTGACCGCCCTCTCCAGAGACCCCCATCCCTAATCACCCCCAGGACCCGATCGTATTCCCCCTTCCCCCCCCTCCCCCCCACTGCTCCAACCCCTATCCACACCTCCTGCCCCCTGACAGGCACTCACCGGCAGCCCCGGGAAGCGGAGCAACACGGCCCCAGCTCACTCCACTCCGCCACGTCCCAGCCGTGGCGCTCCACTTCCCGCCGCTGGTGAGTGCGGGGAGGTTGGGGAAAGGACGCCCTCCGCACTCACCGGCAGCGGGAAGCGGAGCGACGCAGCCCCAGCCTGCTCCGTTTTCCTTGCCCCAGCCATGTCACTGCGGGGGAGGGGGCAGTTGGGGAAAGGTCCCGCATTCACCTGTGGTGGGAAACGGAGCGCCACACTGGGAACTGGCAGAGTGGAGCAGTCTTGGGCCAGGCTGCTCCGCTTCCGCTGCTACCGGTGAGTGTGGGGGGAATCCCTTCCCCCAAGCCCCCTCCCCTGAGCGACACAGCTGGGGCCGGGGCGAGGAAAGCAGAGCAGGCTACTCCCAGCCCCCGGCTAATCTTCCGGGCCACTCAAAAGTGCCCCCTCCCTCCCACAGCTCCTGCCTCCCAGGCCCTGGGGGGAGAGCACCTGACCGCCCCCAAGACCTCTGCCCCTTATCCAACGCCCCGGCCCGGAACCCTTAACACACTGCTCAGAGCAGCGTGTTGGAGCTTTACCGCGTTGTATGCAAACCTGCGTTATATTGGGTTGCGTTATATCGGGGTAGAGGTGTATGAACATGAAATTGTTGGCAGTTTCCACCTACAAAGCGAGAGGCCCAGTTTCTGAAAATCTAGGTTTTAACATAGAGCAGCACCAATAGATGTGGAATAGAAGGAAATTTTTCTCTGCTCTCAGTGCAGAAAGTCTTTAAAATGATTTGAAGTTTGTTCTGACTCTTTGGCTTTGTGTTTATTTTTGAGCAGAACTTCCTACACACACTGAATTCCTGGAAGCCATAACTAGTGCTATGAGGGCTCTCTTGCAAACAATGGCATCAAAGAATATATCTCAGGTGAGAGATTTTTCTACCAAACGTTGGGCATTCTGGTAGATCGAGGTACAGTAAATTTACATCAGATTGTACTTGAATGGTTTTGAAAACAAACCAATCTTTAAAGAGTGCTAGATTCTTGTAACTTGATGTTTAATGCTTTAAGCATTGTGACAATGCTTATTAACACTGCTGGAATTGTAGGTTTAACAAAATTCATCCTAATTTTTCTCATAGATAAATAAGGTTTGCTGAAAATAATATGCTCCTGCAGCAGGGGTGGGCAAACTTTTAGGCCTGAGGGCCACATCTGGGTATGGAAATTGTATGGCGGGCTATGAATGCTCACAAAATTGGGAGGTGGGGAGAGGATGAGGAGATTAGGGTGCGGGAGGAGGCTCTGGTCTTGGGCAGGAGGTTGGAGTGCGGGGGAGGCGGGCGGATGAGGGCTCCAGCTGGAGGTGCAGGCTTTGATGTGGGGCCATGGATGAGGGGTTTGGAGTACAGGAGGGGGCTCTGGGCTGGGATTGAGGGTTTTGGAGAGCAGGAGGGGGATCAGGGTTGGGGCTCAGGGGTGCAGGCTTCAGATGGCCATACCTCAAGCAGCTCCCAGAAGCAGCGGCATGTCTCCCCGTTGGCTCCTATGCTGAGGCGCAGCCAGGTGGGTCTGCGTGTTGGCCTGTCTGCAGGCGCTGCCCCCACAGTTCTCATTGGCCATGGTTCCCAGCCTATGGGAGCTGTGGGGGTGGGGGCAGTATGCGGAGCCCTCTGGCTACCCCTGTGTGTAGGAGCCGGAGGGGGGACATGCCGGCCGCTTCCCAGGAGCCGCACGGAGCCACGGCACGTGCGGAGCAGGGCAAGCCCCCGACCCAGCTTCCCAGCAGGACCTCGAGGACTGGATTAAAAGGTCTTGATGGGCCGGATGTGGACCCTGGGCCATAGTTTGCCCACCCCTGTCCTAGAAGAAACCTTTCACGCTAATTCTGAGCCTGGTGGTTATTTCATATACATATTTAAAGAAAAACAGTTGGGCTAACTTTTTCAAAAACAAATGTAAAACCGAAGCTGTATCTGTCTGTGCAGCAGCCACAGTTTTTAATTTTTGTGTGCTAAACTACCAAGGCTAGTGGTGGATTCTTTCTTGCTTGATAGCTTCAAGGCTGTATGCCTTTCTAAAAGATGTACTTTAACCGTACAAGTTATTGGTTCATTATAGCGGTTACTGGGGGAAATGTGATATTCTTGTCAGACTAGATGACCTAATGGTCCTTTCTGGCTTTAAATGCTATGAATTTATGAATAAAGAGTTTCTGTAGTGTTTATTAATGGCTTAGAAGGAGTTATTCAAATATTTCAGGTAAATATGTGGCTTTTGGTTTAGGGCTTTTTACCTACAGAGACATGACAATGAGTCTTGAGCCTTTCTGGAGGAAACTCCTGAAGGAGTAAAAGGATAGTTTAATAATCTCCATGCTGATTCCATCTTCAGTCTTAACTTTTTTCATAATATACTGATGCTACTTATCTGCTATAGGTTTGTCTGTCTTATATAGACGCAAATGACCTAAAGATTTTTCTTTGAAATAGTGTTTCTCTGGAAATTTAAATTTGTCTGACATTTACTTTTCTTCCCTTTTTTTTAAATAGTGTATGACTCCTGAGCAGCTGATGACTTTATGTGAAGCAGGTATTCATAGCAGTAATATCAGTGTTAGAGTAAATGTAGTTAGCATCCTGGGAATTGCTGGCAGCGTGCTGGCAAAAGTAGAAGATACAGCTGAAACACTAAAGGTAAAAAATACCTTGGTAGCAACCCCTAAACTGCTTTAGTGGAAATTACTTGCCATTATTTTATAATGCCATGTTTTTAAAAATAAGTATCTCTTTTCAGATGATTGGAAAATTTCTTCTTGAGGTTGCTATGAAGGATTCTTCTCTTGTGGTAGCCGGAGAAGCTCTGGATGCTCTCTTTGATGTTTTTGCAGATGGGAAAGAGGCTGAAAAAGCAGCAGTTCAGATTAAATTGCTCCCTGCACTGAAAGAATTCCAGCCAGTCTTCAAAATGAGGGTAGGCATCTCACAAATAGTAACCAGTCCAAGGCCTCAAAACACAGTGCAAGTTAACACTTGAGATTAGTTTAGCTGCTTGTACTACCAGGAATTTTATGTGAAATATGCCCACATGATTTTAAACAATTCAGTGCATAGAAGAGAGCACAAAAACAAACCTCACTTACTGTTAGTATGCTTTAGATGGAAAGAAGAGTTCCTTTCTTGACCGTCAATTTAACCAGGGGTATAAAGAAATAATCCCATATTTACTACGAGGCACCTTTGGTGTCTAAGTTATTGTCGATCTTTTTCTGAAATTCTGGTAAGTTGATTCTGCCAATTCCTCCATGGGTAGAGAGGGCCAAACATGGTTAACCTTTAGAGAGGAGAGAGGAAATCCTCTTCTGAAACTAGTTTGACTTCTTGGTTTTAATTTGCATGGGTGTCCAGATGTGTATATATTTATCCTGTTGCTGCTTAGTTAAGATAGTCTTAACCAGAATCCTTTACTTGTAAGTGAAATTATACAAATGAAACTTCCGATCTCTCAAATTATTATTTTTTTCCTTTAAAAGGGGGTAAATTTTCAAAGCATTGTGTTACTTTAGCCAGGTGACACCCAGTAGGCTAAAAGCTCCAATATACTTTTAAAATAGATACCTTTTTATTTCTATAGTTTATTGCTGGATGGCCTAATATCTTTTAGCCCATCATTCTAGGGCACAACAAATTCGCGGCTGTCATACTCCACCAATTGACCCTTCATTAAATGTGTGGGTGTTCTGCACTTCATTTTATTTCTGAGTGCAGTGCTAGGTGTTTTCCCTAAAATATCTACAGAGGATAAATACATGTTTATACATAAATACAGATTTAACTCTGAAGTCGGATACCAATAATAGTACTGGTCAGATATCTGGCAATGATGTGCTGTGAATTTACTGTTTTTGAATAATTGAAAGGCAGGAGCATCATATCCTGCCAGAGGATATCAGAGGAGTGCTTGGCTGTCCTAATCTGAAAAGCTGCCTTCTCAATTGTGGGGGTGTGTGTGTGTGTATATAATTTTTTTTTTTTTATTGCAGATGCGGAAAGAAGGAAAAGGACAGTACAGTACAGATCAGTTGTGTGTTCTTGACAATGTGAAAATGAATTTGAGAAGATTCATTGCCTATCAAGAGAAATTAGGGGGGGAAAAGACTACTTGAAACAGACTTTAAATTAAGGTTTTCTTTATTGATTGTCAAATATGTAAGTTTTGAATTCTAGAATTTTGGGGAGAGGGAGTTGTTTTTATGTTAACTTTGCATTTCTTACATTATGTATATTTTATACTCTCTGGGAAGATGCAATATTAAAGCTGGATTCAGCATATTAAAGTATTGCATAACTTTGAAATTTCATGTTAATGCTTGTAAGAAATGGTGTTGCAATCTTGAGATATGTAAATACAGTTTACTCTCATTGTGTGGAAACCTTCATATACCCTGGCACAAAATTATACCACAAGGAATTAGTTAAAAAAATAAAATCACAGTTACCTACAAAGTTGAGAAAACCCATAAAAAGCCGAGATTTTTTTTTCAGGTGATCTAAGTAGCGGCTAAATGCCTAAGAAAGTTAATGTGTCCTGTCAGCTGTGTTCAAAATTGAAAGGGCAGCTTTGGCAAGTTTCCTGAGCAAAGTATGATAAGTACATAGATTGTGATGAGCATTTGGACTTTTTTTTGTCCTCCGAGGCTTATCAAAGAAGCAGCTATGTCAAATTCACTTTCATCCAGCATAATAAATTCTTATATGACAGGTAATTATTGTGGAAGTTAGTTTAGAAGAAACCCGCAAAAGATATTTGGCCTGATTTTTACTTCATTTTGTGGATGTTCAGCTTTCTGAAAATCAGTTCAATAGGCTTTACTTCCCTTCTGTAGATCCTACATTAAGGTAAAGTTTGGATTCGGGGAAGTAATACACCTAATAAAAAATACAGCTATTTTTGTACTGAAATGTGATATAAAAAAGATTTTTATAAAAATTGTTGAACTGATATCTACTCAAATGTGTTTGTTGGAGATTTTAAACTGAAATGCCTGTAAAATACATTACCTATTTTTGAAGAAGTGTCACTGATTATGGATGCATAAAGACAAAGATGGACTTTTATATATGAAAATTTTTTATTAATTTCTTCAAATGTATTTGTTTAATTCATGAAAACGAAAGTATCTCAAATACATGATGTAGAAAAATAAGTTTAGGGGATGTGTGTGGCTTTGGAGAACTGGGAATGCAGACATTACATCTAAAAACCAATCAGTTTTATTCATTATGTGAGGTGGGGCGAGATTCAAAGACCAATAAAATTGGGAAGAATTGAACACTTTAAAGATGTCAAATATTGTATAAAATTTTTGGAGGGTGGGGGGGTATTTTTAGAGCTTGCCTGTTAAGCCTTGTTGAATGATTGAAACGGAATATTTGAAGACTTTAGTGTTCTGATGCTATTGTGCCAGTCCACAGAGATTTTAGTAGCTAACACTAAAATGGATTCTTCTAAATATTTTAACTCTAATGATCAGATTTTTACCCCTGTCAGCCTAGGAGTTTTTACCAGATTCCAGGAATGGATGTATTTTGCTTTATTGTTCAGTGTCCTAGTCCCAGTGAGGAGAAGAAAAAATATATTAATTCCTCTGGAAGAGGAGATTTTATTAATGGCTTCTGTGTGGTTTTCTTTTTTGGACAATGTTGAGTTTGTCCACAGGAATGATTTGTATATTTACAAAGTGTGAACTAGCAGACTTTTCTTAATAAAATATTTTTTGCAGTAAAAGTTAGAGAAATTAGTGTTGAAAAATTAACTTGGTGGTATTCTTCAAGAATGCTTTAGTTCAAACAGGAATTAATTCGGGAAAGACCTGTGTTATGCAGGTCGTCATTCTGCATCCTACAACTCAGATACCTCTGTGCTAGTCCCCTCCTGTCTGCAGTTTCTGCAGGCAGTGAGAAGCTGTAGCACAACCCATGCTATCCATGCCCCTTCTCCAGCCTTCTGCCAGATCTTCTGCTTCTGCAAAAGCAGTCAAGTGCCTGTTCACTTGGCTCCTGATCTTTCTTTCCATTTTGTTTGGCAGTAGCATGCAGCCTTTCTTTCTTCTCTCTCTTCTGATTCAGATATTGAGCTGTGCAAATACGGAGCTAAATCCAAGCAGTGTTCTGTTTGTGAGGGCAGCTTTTAAAGGCTCTTTGGAAAACTAATTATGCCCTGCCTGTTCTCAGCCAGTTGACACTTGCACTGAATTGGGTAGGCATGTTGGGTATTGTCTCCCCCCCCACCCTCCACTCAAGAAGCCATGACTTCAGCACAGAAAAGCCCAATCTGGAGACTTTGAGCAGAACAAAAAGGAAAAGAAAAGATATAATAATAAAAACTAAAAGATATTTTTCCTCTGACTCTGACACCTTATCCCCTACTGAGGAAGGGGAGCTCTTGGGTTCAGATTCTGAGTAGGACATTCAAAAGATGCAACGAAAGTTTTTTTCCCCCTTGAGATCATAGAATCCTAGGGATAGAAGGGACTGCAAATGTCATCTAGTCTAACCTTCCTGTTTGAAACCACGTGCATCCACAGTGTAGATCCAGCCTGAGCAGGCACTAGAGGACAAGCCCAAAGGCAGATACCTACCTTGTAAATCCTTGCTTGAGACAGAAATCCTGCTGCACCCATCCTTTTGTGGATGTAATCAGAGAGGAATGGGAAACCCGGATAAGGGTAAATGCATAAGCAGGCATGCACTTAGATATTACAAGTTGCAAGAGCAAAAAAATGCCATTATAAGCATGCCAAAGGTCAATGCTGTAGTGGTATCTCTAGCAAAATATAGGGTAATCCCATTTGAAAGGGATTCTTTCCCAAAAATCCAACTGATAGAAATGTGGAAGACACTGTCAGAATGGTCTTTTCAGCTTCTTTGGCCATCCATAGAGCATCCCTGATGGCTACGTTCTTTGCAAAAGCCAGTGTCCTGGCTTGATACCCCTAAAGCCATGAAGGACAGAGACTATCCTGATTTTCTGTCTACACTTAAGAAAATTTCTCTAGCAACAGCTTTTAGAGGCAGATGCCACAATGCATGCAATGTGATTTTTCATCCAGAGCCATGGATACAACTCATCAACCAAATGCAACATCTGGCTTTGCTCCTGGAAGGTTGATGTTTGCTCCAACAAATTCTGTGATCATCTAAATTCACAGGCTTTCTCCTCTTTGGGTAAAAACTAGACAGAGCTGCTAAACTGAAACAGTCGTTCCCCTCCCCTTCCCACTCACTACTTTGAGAAGGGACGACAAACCCAGCAACAGACAAAGATGCTCCTTCCGTCTGCCTCACAAATGTACCAGAGGAAAGAGAGCAGGTATACTGGGGAAATCCCTGGAACTGGGGATCAAGTGAAAAATCCAGAGTGGATCCACCGTCTCTTAAGAGCCCACTATGACAACAAACGATCATGCCTCCTCCCAGGCCTGAATCTAGGAGGTGGAATTTCCCACTTCTCAGGGCAGGTCTACACTAGCAGCGCTACATTGGTGCAGCTGCACCGCTGAAGCACATCTGGTGAAGACACTCTATGCTGACGGGAGAGCACTTTCCCGTCAGCATAAATACTCCACCTCCACAAGAGGCAGAAGCTATGTCAGCAGGAGAGTGTCTCCTGCCAGCATAGTGCCAGTGTGGACAGCACTTAGGTCGCTTTAACTTGGATCGCTCAGGTGGATGTCTTTTTCAGACCCCTGAGCGACATAAGTTAGATTGACTTAAGTGGTAGCATAGACCTGCCGTGAGGAGAATGGTCTCAGTCAACCAGAGACAGGTGGCTGAGAGAGGTAGTGAGTTGTAAATACTCCCTTGAACTCAGGGCCCTGTGCTATTTCTCTTTCATCCAATCCCCTTTCTTGAGTGACCCCATTCAATGTGAGTTGGTGTTAAACAAAATCTCGCATCCTTTTCATAACACAAGAACTAGAGGTCACCAAATGAAATTAATATGCAGCAGGTTTAAAACAAAGGAAGTATTTTTTCACACAACACACAGTCAACCTGCGGAACTCCTTGCCAGGGGATGTTGTAAAGGCCAAGACTATAACAGCGTTCAAAAAGAACTAGGTAAGTTCATGGAGGATAGGTCCATCAATGGCTATTAGGATGGGCAGAGATGGTGTCCCTAGCCTCTGTTTGCCAGAAGCTGGGAATGGATGATGGATCACTTCATGATACCTGCTCTGTTCATTCCCTCTGGGGCACCTGGCATTGGCCACTGTCGGGACACAGGATACTGGGCTAGATGGACCTTTGGTCTGACCCAGTATGGCCGTTCTTCTGTTCTTATCTCCTGAACATAGGAGCAATAGTAAGGATTCCCTCAGAAGAAAGATTCTTAGGACTGCTTCATTTTCTTCATTGTCCAGAAGCAAATAGGGGGTGATGGGTATCAGAGCCTTCCTGGATCTCAAATGGCTCAACAACTAGATGAAGAAAATGGGATGGAGAGACTAGCATCCCTGTCCCAAGGGACTTCCTCATTTCTGTGGACTTAGCAGATGCATATCTCCACATTCCCATAAAATCATGCCACCACAGACAGCTCAGATTTGCATATGGCACAGTTCACTACCAATACTAAATGCTCCTATTTTGCATTTTCATCCTCCAGGGTCTTTGCCAAGATAGGCAGGCTCAGATTTCACAGTAGTCACTTGTATCCCTTCCTAGATGACATCCTGATCAGAGCTCCAACCCAAGTAATATTGCACAGTGCCAAAATCAAGATGCTAGATTTGCTTCAAGCACATGGATTTGTGATAAACACCAGGAATTGCTGCTTGACTCACTCCTCAAAAATAGCTCATATGGGAGTGGAAATAGACACTTTTGTGGTAAAGGTGTACCCATCACTGGTCGATTCCACAAGATCCGGAACCTGATATCCATGTTGGTAAAGTGTACAAGGCTGACTGTAGCTCATTGTCTGCAGCTACTTGGCCTCTTGTGTTTGTGTTCAGGAATCACCTCATGAGCAAGTTCCCATATCAGGTGCATTTAGGCCTTTCTCCTGAGACTATGGAACTGGTCACTGGAAAGCATGGTAATGGTTGCGAACTAGGTGCTGATCTCTCTGTAGTGGTGGACAATCACACAGCACATCTGCAAGGGTCTTCCTATAGGCCTTCCAGACCAGGATGTACAATCAGTGCCAGCCTGACAGGAAGGGGAGTGCACCTGGGGCACAGGAACTGTGCAAGGTGCCTGGAAACCCAGGGAAAGTTACCATAGCAGCATCCTGTTGGAGCTCAGAGCTGTCAAACTAGCCCTACAGATGTTCCAGAACTACCTAAAGGGTGAATGTGTTCTGGTCCAATCCAGCAGCAGGATCACTGTGGTGTATATCAACAACCAAAGGGAGAACAAGGAGTGTAACTCTACACACACAAGTGATGGAGATAATGGAATGGGCAGAGAGGACTCTCCCTTCCATGAGAGTAATACAAATGAAAGGAGAGCTGAAACAAAAGGCAGACTGGCTCAGGTGGTGCAGTCAACAACTCGAATGATGTCTGATTCAGGGGGTCTTCACTCTGATTTCATAGGAGTGCAGTCTTCCAGCAGCTGACCAGGTTGCCAATCATAAGAAGAAAAACTGGGTAAAGAACTTCACTGTGGAAGCAGACCCCAAATCCCTGGAAAGGGATCCTCTTCACACAGATGGTCACAAGGCCTGCCCGTTCCCCTTCTGGGGAAGGTGGGTGATCCAGAGGATAAAGTGAGAAGAAGCAAAGGCGATAGTGTGAGTTCCGCACTGGCTAAGGATACCATGGTTCTCTGAACTGACGTTGGAACTATCATTGCAGCTGCCGTTGAGACCAGACATCTTTTACCCAGGCCCGTTCCTCCATCCAGACCCATCCAAAGACTGGCTACAACCAATAGCCTGGCTATTGAAAGGGAAGCGTTAGCTCGGACTGTCTTCCAAAGTGATTGGAACTTTACTCTCCTGCAGGCGAACTTCTACACTAACAGCCTACTTCTCCATCTGGACTAGGTTTAGCTTATGGTGTTGAGAACACCCAAAATCCCATGGATCCTGCTATCCCAGTTATCCTGGATTTTTCTTCAGGAAGCCATAGACAAGGGATTTCAGCCCAGCTCCGTAGCATATCAGATGTCATCTGTAAGTAGCGTCCTATTTATAAGACCTCCGGTTCCTTGACAGAGAACCCTCAGGTATCCAGATTTCTTAGAGCAGTCAGGCTGGCTAAACCTGTGATTAGACCAAACTTTCCTAGTGTGACCTACCACTGGTGTTAAAAGCCCTAACAACTTACCCTTTTGAGTCACTGACACATCTTCAGTCTACCTATCCTAAAAAAACCATTTTTCTGGTCGCCATCACGTCTGCTACACGAATCTCTGAACTGGCAGCTTATCTATGCAGGAATCCCTCTGTGTGTTCCATGACACGGTGGTGCTAAAAATCCCAGAATCGATCTTGCCCACAGGGAATTAATTTTTCCATGCCTCACAGGAGATCATCCTCCATTCTGTCCAAAGCAACAGCCCCAACAGAAAAGCTGTAGCACATTTTAGATGTTTGAAGAGCACTGAAGAGCTGTCAAGCACACCAACAAAATGACCAGGCTCCTTGTTTGTTTCC